AGTGTTAAAGTTAGACATGCCTAAAGCTTATGACAGCGTATGGTGGTTTTTTCTGATGAAAGTATTAAGGAAGATGAGTTTTTCTTCAAACTTTGTAGACTTGATATGAAGGTTAATCTCTAATAATTACTGTTCAATTCTTCTCAATGGGCAATCCCACAAGTTTTTTCATTCTACCAGAGGAGTGAAATAAGGAGATCCTTTGTCTCCAGTTTTTTTCATCTTATCATCAGAGGCTCTTTCAAGAGCCCTTAATGTTTTGTTTGATGATCCTCAATATGTTGGGCATGAGATGTCAAAGCGGAGTCTTAATCTCAATCACTTAGCATATGCAGATGATACTATTATTTTTGTTTCTTCTAATAAATATTCTTTTTTAAAAGATCATAACTATTTTACAGGAATATGAAAAGTAATCTGGTCAGAGGGTGAATAAAGAGAAGAGTTTTTACTATTTACGTCAAAGTGTTGCTGCATGAATTCCTTATCAGGTGGAACAAAGTACAGAGATGGTTAGGGGGTACTTCCCAATGAAATATTTAGGTTGTCCAATTACTCATTCTAGTAAGAGGGAAAACATTATGCAGAACTGATTGATTGAGTAAAAGGAAAACTTCAAGCATGGAAAGGAAAAATGCTCTCATACAGTGGTAAAGACATTCTTCTTTTTAGTGTCCTTCAAAGTATTTCTATCTATACTTTATCTTATATTGCTCCACCTAAGTGTGTTATTAGGGAATTGCATAGGATCTTTGCAAAGTTTTTTAGGAGTAATATTGAATCAGGAAAAAGTAAGCATTGGTCTGGCTAAAGGTCTGTCTCCCAAAACATGAAGGGGGTCTTGGATTCAAGTCCCTTTTTTATGTTTCTCAAGCTTTGTATGCTAAACTGTGGTGGAGATTTAGGACACAAAACAATCTGTGATCCAATTTCCTATGGAATAAATATTACAAGAAATAAAGGGGACTCCCAGGTTTGAAAACAAATGTTAGAGAACATGGACAATATTGAAAACCACTTATGGTGGGAGCCTAGGGGTGGTACTGCTACAATTTGGCATGACAATTGGTCCAATCTTGGACCTTTGCATATGCATCAGTCAGAAACTCATACAAGCCATCTTATGAGAGACATAATGAAGTTTCTATCTGAGAAAGGTTGGGACTTTGAAGATCTTCAGGAGAATGTACCAGAATAGGTGGTAGAGCATATCAGGCTTATTATGATGCATATTCAATTAGTTAATCAAGGAGATAAACTTTGGTGGACCAAAACTAATATAAGTTTTTTCACTGTGAAGAGTGCATGGGACCTTTTAAGATAAAAAGAAACTACTAATAATGATTTGAAGATGTTATAGGTGAAAGGTTTACCTTTCAAGTTCTCTTTCTTAGTTTGGAGAATCTGGCAAGGTAAAGTCCTTGTAGCTAACTTAATGCATTCTTGGAATTCTCATATTTCTCAATTTTACAGATCTTGTTCTATTTTCGAGGTTGAGACAACAAATCATCTATTTTTAAAGGGTGAAGTAGCTGAGGAAATTTGGAATCATTATGCCAGAGCAACATGTATATTAGGCACATTGCTAAATTTGAAGCAAACTATAAGAAGATAGTGAGAGACAGATTGCCATTCTAGAATTAAGGTGGCATTTCAGGTTTTACCTTTGATTATTCTGTGGTTCATATGGAAAAGAAAAAATACTATCCTACATGGTAGATCTTACTCAGTGGGGAAGACTATTTGGGAAATTAATATCAATATTGATGAAGATTAGATTTCATATGGTGGCTAAGAGCAATAAATGAGATCACATGATTGAATCTCTAGAAGGATATAGAGCTAATTTTAGTTTCAAAATCGTAAGATGGTTTCCTCCACCTATTAACTGGGTGAAATGTAATACTGATGAAGCATCTAGGGGTAATCCTGGATTCAGCTCAACAACTTTCTGCATAAGGGATCATCTAGGTAATCTGGTGGTTGTAAAAGGGTTCAAACTACAAGATTCTACAAATCTGGTGGTTGAAGCTAGGGCTATTAGAGAAGGCTTAATGTCTTGTATGAAAAACATGATTGAGCAGGTCATTATAGAATCTGATTCTATGGCTATGGTTCAAATTTTGGAAGGAAGGTGGGATACTCCGTTGAGTGTGGCTTTGGAGGTGAATAAGATTAATGTGTTGAGGAGACGTTTATCAATAAGAGTACAACATTTAGCTTGTTAGTATGACGGAAGATGAGATCTATTTGTATCCTCTCTAACAACTTTTCGTATAACTGATGAAGATGGAGCTTCAATGAAGTCAACTTGATAAACGGTGAAGACAACCGCAGTTCCGACGTGCGGAATCTCTGATGGTTCAGTTCCATTGCCAAGTTTCTGGCAAATGACTCTTCTTTTCTCAGTAGGTTCTTCTATCCTTTTTGTTACTTTTAATTTTTGTCTTTGTTTGCTCTTGTCTTGGGCCAACTTTTGGACCAGGATAGTTGTGCAACTTTTTTTTAAAAAATAATATAAAGAGGCATCTTGCCCTACCCTTTAAATTAAAAAAATAAAAATTAATCAAACACAATTAGAGCTGTCAAAACGGGCTTGGCCCGCTAGGTCGTTTCAACCCAACCCTTGAATTAAATGGGGTTGAGCTTAATTTTTTCAGCCCATTTAGGAACGAGACTTTTTAGCCCAGCCTCATTTGACCCTCTTGCCTCGTAGGCCCAACCCGCAAGCCTCAGAGGCCAGCCTGTGGGCTATGAATTTTAAAAATATTTATTATATATATTTTATGTAGTGTTTTATTTGTTAAGATTTTGTCAATAAATATTTTTAAAATATTAATATAAAATCAAGTCTAACTTCTTTACATATCTTTTACATATTAGGGCTATTATCCCACTAAATTTTCTTATTAGCCCAAGTCCATTACTCCATTATAACTATGAATCATTGACCTCTTCTACTTTTGTTTTTATGCCTAATTTTCCACTTCTCCTTTATTGTAAAATAGTGATCATGTAATGTTTTTTGCTCGGATGAATCTTATGAATGTTGTATCTTGGCTATTATGTTTTTGTTTTGTAAATATTCACTGAAGTATGTGTAATTCATGAATAAATTTTTGTATGTATTGACGTCGTATTCATCAGACATCAACGTTTGTACTCTTTCTAAGAGCGTAATGTTGTCCATTTTTTGGTTGAAGGGCCAATCCGTCCCAACCTGTGACTCGCTTAGGGCTGGGTTGGACTGCTATTTTATAGGTCTTTTAATTAAAAGGGTCAACCCGTCCCACCCATTTAATTCTGTAGCCCGTTAGGATTGAGTTGGGCCAACCTATTTTGACAACTCTAAACACAATTTACTTATGAAAAATACTTTTATATAATTTATAATCAATCAAAAATGATTTTTCAAATGCTATTTTAATAGAAATACTTATAAAAATAAGCCATTTTTAGTTGCTTGATCAATCGACTCAAGTTATATGTTTTTGAAAGAATAAGATAAAGATAAATCCATTTTGTGGAGTGAGAACTATTAAGGGGCCGTTTGGTTACTGGTTAGAGTTATGCAGGTATTAGTTATGTAGGGTATTAGTTATGCATGTATTAGTTATGAAGGGTTTAATTATGCAGGTATTAGTTATGCAGGGTTTAATTATACAAGTATTAGTTATGCAAGTATTAGTTATGCATATATTATTTAATTAGGTAGAGATCACAATGCATAAATTATTAAGTAATAAATATTGAATTTGTTGTAAATTAATGTATATTACTTACAAATAAATAAGTAAGCAAATAGTATAAATTCTCCTTCTTTTTGAATAAAAAGTAAAGAAAAAAAATTCTCCCTCTACTTAATTGGGACTACTATTTTTCATTTTGTTATTTTTTTATGTTTATAACTTATAAAAATAAAATATGATTAATATATTTCAAGTACATTATAATATCCTATTTTATATAATGTAAATATTCTATCAATATGTTGTATATATTGTTTATACAGTTTTAATATACCAAATATATGAATTATGTATAAATTCACATCCTAAACAAAATAATAATACATGTCAATTAAAGAAGTGGAATATATTTAAGGGAAAATGCATAAGTACCCCCCCTAGCCTATGTCCAAAATCCCAGAGACACACCTAACTTTTACTAAGGTCCTATTACCCCCCGAACTTAATTTATATATAATTTTCTACCCCTTTTCGGCCTACGTGGCACTATCTTGTGGGCCCAGTGCGTGTTGACTATTTTTTCAAGGATAGTGCCACGTAGGCCGAAAAGGGGTAGGAAATTATATATAAAATAAGTTCATGGGGGTAATAGGACCTTAGTAAAGGTTAGGTGTGTCTCAGGGATTTCGGGCAAAGGCTGGGGGTACTTATGCGTTTTTCCTATATTTAATAATATATAACGCTATATACAATTCAATTTGTAATATTAATAAAATATTACATTTGGATTTCAAATGAAAATAGAAAAAAAAAAGTTGTGCGTGTATTAAAAAAAAGTTAGGAAAATAGCATAGTTGGATAACATTTTCAATGAAAATAATTAAAAATAAATCAATAAGGGTAAATGTGTAATTTACTATTTTAATACATGTATAACTAATACTTGTATAACTTATTCCACCTTCTACCCTGCATAACTTATACATAGATTCCCTCATAAGTTATGTTGGTATTAATTATGTATGATTACAAAAAACACAACTAAACATCGTATAAAATTAATACATGAATAATTTTTATACAACATTTAGAATTCTATCAACCAACATGGTATAAGTTATGTTGAGTTTTTCACCTAATACAAAATTTCTACCAAACATGGTAAAAGTAATGCAACTTTTTAAACGTAGATAAAATGCAACTTATACAGTAACCAAACAGATTAATTAATTAATTAGGCGCTTGGGTTAAGTTCTTGTTCCCCGTACTTTGATTAGCGTCAAATTCTCATATTATTCAACAGAATCTGATTCACTACTTTTCCGGCGATTTCGCTTTCCGGCGATTCTCCACCTCAAGGCTTAAAGCGCACGATTCCCAAAAAAGATGTGGCGTAGATCAGCTTCTTTCATTCTCGACAAAAACCAAAACGACGTCGTAGCAAACCCTGAAAGTCACCATCTTTCTCCTCTTTCAGTCGCCGTTTCATCATCTATGGCCGAAACCCTACAACAGGAGCAGCAACCTAATCCTGACATTTCGGCGTATTATCAGACTAGAGCGGCTCATCATGGAGTTGTTACCAGTGACTGGCTTGCTCAGGCTCAGGCTGCTGTCGACCAACCATCTGAAGACGCTGTATCCTCGAACTATTCTTCTAAGTCTGGAGATTTGAGTGGGAAATTTAGTGTGATTGATGAGTTCAATAATTGGCGTAAACAGCCTGATTTGGCTGAGGCTGTTGCCGCTATTAGGGCTTTGGCTTCGGTTATAAGGTCCAGTGAAGCTACTACTATGATGGAACTTGAAATTGAACTCAAAAAAGCTTCTGATTCTCTCAAGGTTCGATTTATTTTTCTTATCACTGCTCTTATTGAAATTAATCGAACTCTGGTTTCTGTTGCTAAGTCGCAATACTATTATGCATATTGTTTTATCTTCTCTTTCTTTATCGTTCTCGTTCTCGTTCTCCAAATGATGCTCTTTTTGTTTTGGTTCTTCTTAATTCCTTAAAATTAGAATGTCCCCTACTCATTGAAATTTGGTACTTTGAGTTGTTTAATTGGTGGAAGTGGTAATCCTACAATCAACAGTCAAGGAAATCAATATATTGCACCCTTTGACCCATTTTGATAAAGAAGTGACAAAAAGAGTGGACACAGAAGAAGAAAAATGGAGGAATTGGAATTGGAGAAGTGAAGGGGATGTCATGGCTTAGGAGAAGAAGTTCAAGTCAACAATGAGAAAGCATACAGTGTGGAGCCCAATTTGCTAATTTTTCTTTGACCAACTCACCATGAATGCTGGTGGCCTTATTCCCTGGGGTAGCAAGAGTGGTAAATAGACTGTTGCCACCTATAGTGACACTGAAGGGGCTGTGGACAGTGGTGGAGAAGATTGCTTGGTGATTTTCGGCAAAGGCGATGACCACTATGGTGGTGGTGATGAAGAGTCTGGGAGCTCTACACTCTACTCTATTGAACTTGATATTTACCTCTCAAATGGCTTTTGTAGCGTTGTTGCCTGTTCATGTTAATGCAGCATTCATGTTCTTGTAGTCTGAAAATGTTTAGACTGGAATAAGGAAAACAAAATGGTCCTTTTTTTTTCACAACTATTTTAGAAAGTGTTGCTCTTGTGATTTTTAAAATACTTTTCTGTGGTGGTGGAATTGTCGCCCTGAATCCTTTAATCAAGTGTTAACATTATATTTACTTTTACTTTTAGACATAAAATAGAAAAGTTTGTTCTTTATATGGCGTGGTGTTCGGCCCAGTTTCACCCAGCAGCCTATTATCTGCGAAGGGTGGAACTGATGAGCTCACACTGTGTTGTTGGAGTGCGAAGTTGGGAATCCAATGCACAGAGTGTTACTCCTACGCCTTAACCACTCAGCCTCCCCTTGAGACAACTTTAAGTTGTATTGAGCGATATTAATGGTACATGTTTATAATAAGGTTAGGTAATGCTTCTTAGACAAAGTACTTTTTATTTTTTCAGTCCTTATAATGTATTTACTGGGTAGCTGCTGTTGTGCTAAATAATTAAAGTAGGTTCTTTTTCTCCTTTAGTTAATATGTCCCCATGTGGAATTTTGAGATATTCTTGAGTGGTGAAAGTTGTAAATTGGGTTGAAGGAGTTTGGCTCCATAACACCCAGTGCTGCTGTGTTTTCTTCAAACGGGAGATTTGGAAGTTTCTTGAAAGACATGGATCTGTTTCTCTAAAGTCTAATCTGATGTTTTGAGAGTCTGAGCTAACATAAATTGAATGTGGATGCCAAGGGAATAAGTCTTTGACAAATCATTTTTGTTTGTTCTTAAAAGTATATTTGAAGGTCACTGTTGTTTTGCTGAAAGAACTAAGTATCAATGAGCCATACCATCAGATATAGTCCTGCCATCAGAGGAATATAATTTGATTTGATTTGGTTAGAGATGATTGTCACTAACTCAGTATGGTACCTATCAAAAGAAAAGCCTGTCTTTTCGGTTTGAAGGGAGAAATAGTGGTGGTTTACGAAACTTGATATCAATGGACTAATACAACAACATGGATGCAGATCCGGTGCAGTAGTGATTATCCAATTTCGCCCTTGATGGAAGGGGACATATGTCAAATGTCATTAGAGCTTTATTATTCAACTTCTTAAATACCTGCTGTCGTTGGACCCTTGTATTTTGATGTGTAAAAGTAGATTTCTGGACAGTGTACATCTATCTTATGGTAGTCAAGTCAAATTTGATTGCAAGCATAGTGAGAGACTTGAGAAATTTATGCTTTATTGTTCTTTCATTATTTATGTTTGTATTGCAGTCATGGGATAAAACCTCCATCTCTTTGACAGCTGGTTGTGATTTGTTCATGCGCTATGTAACAAGAACTTCAGCATTGGAATATGAAGACTTTAATTCAGCCAAGTCTCGCCTTCTTGAACGTGCAGAGAAGTTTGGGGAAATATCTTATAAGGTACACCATACAATTATTAAAAGGAAAAATACTAAGCATTTTATTCAAACTAACACAATGTTTCCAAAACATTATTATGCAGGCTCGGAAGATAATTGCAATGCTCAGCCAAGAATTTATCTTTGATGGCTGCACCATTTTAGTACATGGCTTCTCCAGAGTGGTGTTTGAGGTTCTGAAAACAGCTGCTCAGAATAGGAAGAATTTTCGAGTTCTTTGCACTGGTTTGTGTAGAAATATTACATTTCTAGTTCATATGAACAATTGCTAGAGTTAGATAGTTCTATATGTTATCAATTAAGTGGCAGTTGTTTTCTCCCTTCTCAGCATGTATGTTCATATTTGTTGGGTAAGCCAGAAGCGAATGGAAAAAGTTCCTTTCATCAATTTACTGGCTTAATAAGCGAACTTTTGCTTGTTGGTAAACCAGATAAATGTCAATAATGTTTAGGGCAGTTAAATACAAATATGGGAGAGAGAGAACTGTCTTTGCTTTTGCTCATTTATTTATTTGTTTTGGTTACGGAGATCCACATGGAATTTTAGGAATCAGCTTTTCTGTAGTCCCCTGTCAAAAAGAATGTTGTTTCTCTTTCTCCCAGTTCCTCTCAACGACTAATTTGTGAAAAAGTTTTTTGAGTTTCCTTTGATTATGCAACACTTGTTGATTTTCAAGTTTCCTGGTAATGATGAAAGGTGGCATTGCATATGCTTTCATCTAGAATTTGAGAAGATGAGCTACTCTTTAATTTTATTGCATGATAATCTAGATTCCATTATCTAAAATGCAGAAGGTAGGCCAGACAGGAGTGGGTTACGATTGTCCAACGAGCTAGCCAAGCTTGATGTTCCTGTGAAACTCTTAATAGATTCTGCTGTGGCATACAGCATGGATGAAGTTGACATGGTTTTTGTTGGGGCAGACGGTGTGGTTGAAAGTGGAGGCGTTATCAACATGATGGGTACCTACCAAATTGCTTTGGTAGCTAAGAGCATGAATAAACCAGTCTATGTAGCTGCTGAAAGCTACAAGGTAAGTTGAATGCATGTTATCTGTTACATTAAGGATTCCAAACCACATATCTTCTTAAGGAGGGACATTTTAACTAGATGAACATACAGAATGCTATGGGATTCATTTGCTTCCTAACAAGTTGTAATTTCTTGCAGTTTGCTCGTCTCTATCCACTGGACCAAAAAGATATGGTTCCAGCTTTACGTCCAATTGATTTTGGGGTGCCAATTCCGTCCAAGGTGGAGGTTGAAACATCTGCTCGCGATTATACACCACCTCAGTATCTTACACTACTATTCACGGATTTGGGCGTTCTAACACCATCTGTAGTAAGTGATGAGCTTATACAGCTATATTTATAGCCCCAATGAAGTCTGATTCTGTTGTAGGTATTTCAACTATTACATGTAGGGAGGAAATTTTGTTTTCATGTTCTCCCATTTCTTCTATGACATGGAAGAACATATACCCAAATATTATGTTTTTTTTTAAAAAAAAGTTTGCTTATCCTTCTGGGTATGAATCGAAAAAGGAATCATCAGACTATTCAGAGTAAATTCATCTTATTTTTCTTTTTATGACCGTGGTGTCTGGATCAGCTTTTGCGCACTTCAATTAATTCCATGGGATACTGGCCGCCTTTCACTAGCAATAGATACTAGATAACTTTGTCCACCAAAGCTAGGACATAATAGATATGAAATCTCCTGAGAATGAAATTGAGTGTTGAATCTGTTGGTGACAGCTTGTAGAATCGATTCTTGTTGATAAGACGGATTTTATGACACTAATTTTTGTTTGGTGTAAAGAGTTTTGTGACAAATAAGGTATCGAACCAACAGCTTGTAGAATCGATTCTTGTTGATAAGACGGATTTTATGACACTAATTTTTGTTTGGTGTAAAGAGTTTTGTGACAAATAAGGTATCGATCATCACAAATTCATTATTAATTTCAAATCCTGAAAAAGGACTTTATTGCCCCATTATAGTCAATTTAATAAATTGTATCATTTTTTTTTTTGGAATCAAGTGTGACTGAAAATTACCAACATAGGTTGCGGTGCACTGGTGAGAGTGCTTCACCCTTAATCAGAGGTCTCGGGTTCGAGCCCTGGGTATGGAGAAAATCCTGTTGGGAGCGCCACCCCCAATTGGATCCTACAGAGCGCGATCCGAATTTAGTCGAAGCTCCAATATGGGCTTCGGACATCGGGTGGAAAAGAAAAAAAAAAGTGTGACTGAAAATTTAACATAAGATTGTGGTGAACAACATAATGAGCATTATTACGTCTATATAATGAACATTATTATTGTTGTGAACGATTTCACCATCCCAAAATAATGGAACCCTAATAATTTGTTCACTAGACATATTTTTATACAAAAATGATAAAAAAATATATATATGGAGATGGATAAATTTTACGCTTTAAACTAAGTAACCTTTATAGAGTTTTGAATACCTTTGAGAAAACAAAAATCTAATGAAAAAGTATCATATAAGCACTATTTCTCTCTACTATAATTAGTTCAAATCAAGTTGATGAAAAAATGTTGAAAAAAGGTTACAAAAATGTGAGTTTTGTCCTAATATTAAGACTTCTATAGCGCACTAAGTTATTGCACTATATGCTCTATACACTTTAAACGGACGTTAATTGATGAACGTCTGAGCAGGTCATATAACACACTAATTTAGTGTCAACTTTCTTTTTGCATATTATTTTGGACACTTCTTTTCTTCCATGAATCTTTTAGTTTTCGAACTCTTTGCTCATTTGATATGTGAAATAAAATGAGATATTGGAAATTTAGTGTAGAATAAATTTTATACTACATTTAGTAACGACATAAATTTATATCTCATCTAATTTGAAATTAGTTTATCTCATCTCTCAAGTAGAATAAATTAATCTGCATATCAAATAATATAAAATTAATTTTCACCTGATCAACACATTCAAATATACGCTAAAATTAATAAAATCCTAAATTAAAAGATAATGAAAAAAGGGAAGCACACCGAAATGTGTTTGGTACAATTATTTTCTTTTCAAGGGTATGCTATATAAATCATAATTTTAAGTAATTTGTAACTTCAGTCAAGGACCGTTAATATATAGTTTTAAAAGAAAATAGTAAACAAATATTTAGTTAAAAAAATTAACGCAAGTAATCCATCTTTATATATAACATAAAATTAACATTCAAAAAAAATTAAATTAGTCTAATTTTTTTACTCAAGTCGTCACAATTAAAAGCATTTGTTCCAAACTTTAAATAGAGGGTAAAATATCATATTTCAAATAAATCAAGGGTAAAATTAGTTTTTTTTTTTTTAATTTAATGCAATTATTAGTAAGAAGAGTATTTTTGAGTTTGAGTTATTTTATTAGTTGAAGGACTTATTTAAACACAAAACATAATAACAACAGCATTTTTTTTTTTACTAAACAACATAACAAGAATAAAATTGACCCTGTTTAAACATGTACAAACCCAAATTTTAATATTATTTCACTTTTGTAAATTTTTTCCCACAAATTTTTAATAGAATTTTCTCTTGTTTAATCTTGTTCTTTTTTTTGCATGATTAAACAAAGAATATGAGTGATTAGTCTCATCCTCTAAACTAAATTAGATTAATTATCGGCAGAATTGCTTTATTAACTTCCTTATGAACATTTCTAGTTCTGGGTTTCTTAATTATTTAATCAAAAAATTAAGTAGATTGTTTTTTTTTTTTCGACTTGAGTGTTTTTGTTACTCTAAACTCAAGTTCGATTATAGACGTAAAGATTAAAACTTTATGATAAAAAATTTTTAATCTCTTTTTTTTTTTTTCTTCTTTTGTTGGCTGTTGAATTAACAGTTGATTTAATAATTAAACAGCTAAGATGTGAAAAAAAATTACTCGTTAATCACACGAACTTTTAACTTTCCGTATTCTGTTTCCATATAATTTTTTTTTCTCTTTTACATTGATTATTAGTTGTAGATTTTAAAAAGGGTATTAGGGTTTCTATTCTTTACTTTATTTGCCTTTTCATCTCTGGCTGAATTAGCTGTTCTGGGTTTTCAATTCGTGGGTGGATTCGGAGCTGTAATGGAAATCGTTGATGTTCTATGATTTCTCTATCTGGTGAGTGTTTTTTTGCTTATACCCAGTTGTTTTTTTTTTTTCCGGTCGTTTGATTGTTCATTGATTTTCAGGATTTGGGTTGTTTTTGATGTTAGAATCTTGATTTTTTTGAAGTGGGCAGGTGTAATTTTGTGATTAAAATACAGATTTTCAAGTTGGGTATGAGTAATTTTATGAATTTGGTTGATATTGTGACCAAAGACTTGATTTTTAAGTGGTTATTGGTAATTTTCTGGATTGGGGGTGGGGTGGTTATGTATGAGATCAATATGTTGCAGTTCTCTTGTTAGGTTCTTTTAGTTTATGCATGTGTTGAAGGTTTGGTGTTTTTGCTCTGCTGGGGATTTTTATATGTTCTTACATGTATAATAGGATTTCTTTTTTCTGCAGGATTTGCTAAAGAGTTTAGATACAGGGTGTAAGATTTTAGTGGAGTGGGGTTTAGCTGCTGCAGTTAGATTTTCTTTGTAGGTGTGAAATAGTTTTAGGAAAGGAAAGCCAGGTTAACGTGATGTTTCATTGCCAAGGAGCTTCCAGACAAAGTTGTAGTCTTCTTGCAGTATTATGTGGGAGAACTTCTGAATATGATCAGAAGAAAGATGTACATGATGGTAAGCCGAGATATTGCTTCCCGGAGATTGTATCATCAGGGCGTTTGGAGGTGGGTATCATTATTAATTGGTTTTGTATCTAATTTAACATGTTCTGGGTTGATGCCTCTCAGTAGGAAGGTTCATCATTAGCTTGGCATATGAACTGGTTTCTTATGTCTATTACAATTTGCTAAATGTAGGTGCAAGTGTTGAAAAACCCAAGTACCGATGAATTTCATAAAGTTTTAGATTCATGGCAGCCAAATATTGTATATTTGCAAGGAGAACATCTTTCGAATGATGAAGTTGGTTCACTTGTTTGGGGAGGTCTTGATTTGTCTTCTGTGGAGGCCATTTCTGGACTTTTTAGTTCTGCACTGCCAACCGCTGTATGTAACTTTCTTTCCTTTGTTTTGTCAAGAGAGTTTGTGCTAGCTCTGCCTTTTCTTGCATCTCCCTTGGTCGGATATTCGAAGGATATTTTTTTGATGTCTTAAAGATTTTATTAAAGTATTAAACAGATTATGTACTTTAGCTTTGGTAGTTCATGTTATTTCTGAAGCCATTGCCAAGTCGTTGGATTTTAATATATCTTACCAAAGGGTTTAGATTCAGATTATAAGATAATCTGCAGGATCGTTAGGTTTGCATTATTTCACTTAATTTAATAAATATGATCCAGTCAGTTGTTTTGCAGAGTCACCCTCTTTAACCATAAAAGGTGCATGGTTATTATTTGGGAGAATCAAATTTGTGATAATTCTGCATAACTTCAATGAAGGTTGTTATTGTGCTTGTGTTTTCAGTCTAGCGGTTGAGATCATGTGATTAAAGGTTCGCGTATTTGGTCTCATTCATTTATGGATGTTTGTTCAACAATATGTTGGTTTGTGTCTTGTTTACAGATTGGTGTTTGTTCCTCTAACTGGTACTGTAAATGATACAGCTTCTATTTGTCGTAGCAGAATAGACTTCAAGGTGATTACTTATTAAAAAAATAGAAATCAAGGTGATCATTTCTTAGTAAAATACCTAATAATCAGTAATGCCTTGATTCAAAAAATGTCTTAGAAATAAATATCAAACCATCTTTTAGTGGTTAAGTTGTATTCTCCTGAAGATCCAATTATTTTGAAGTGTTCCTTTGATCACGTTATACTTGCACTATTAGGACCGTAAATTGCATTAGTGTTAGTTCTGTTGTTTACTTGATGATCTAATTGTAGGTCTATTTGGAGCTCCCAAATGGAGAAAAATTGGCTGAAGCACTTCATGCTAAGGTGAGAGATTACCTGTTATTCGCTAAATCAGTTGATGATCTGGTCAAATCTCCTCATTTAAACTAATGGATGGTTTCTTTTTGTTCCACTCCTATGCTCATTTTTGCAGGGAATTCCTTATGTGATGTACTGGAAGAGCGCATTTTCCTGCTATGCTGCATCCCATTTCCGACATGCATTTTTATGTGTGGCACAGAGGTAATCTTAGTGGTGACTCTGATGTGCAGTGATTTGATGCATTATTCTGGACTTCCATATATTAATTGCTTGTACTTTCCTTTTGGTGCATATTCTCTATGCTAGAGAACAACAAATGTATTCTCACAGGTGACTTCAATAATATGGCTGTGTATTTGCTTTTAGGAAACTATCTGGATTTATACATTCCCATTAAGCTA